CAGATCTACATATTTTAAGCTATTTATACATATACATATGTACAAATAACTATATTTATCTCTCCCCCAATCCCTCCAACTGCATGCTGTTCATCTGTCTCTGCTAGCGCACATTCTTAACCACACTTAATCAATGCAATAGATTTTCATAGAAAATCAGAATGCATAAATTTTCATATCGAATGACCGACACAGCGCATATCTCGTACACTCGCTGCCATATTTAATACGATTTGAGTTTTGTTCGGTTTTAGTGCGCATGCGCGATGTGGCGATGTATGTGCGCCTCGTAAATATGCATTAGGAAATTCCATTTCACCTGCCACAAAGCGCTGCTTGTCCAGTGCAATTGAACGTTTTGCGATTGGATCTCACTTGCGATGCGGTTTTTTCCGTCTGCCGTGGTGAGAAGCTTAGATGCTTTCGCGTTGATAAGCACGCTCGAGAAGAAGATACACGTACATATATTATTACAAGACATGAAGAATGTGTGTTTGAATGGCGATATATAATAAGTGGGGGACAAAAAGTTATTTTTTAGTTTTAAATTTATGCACTTTGTTGCTTGATATGTTGCACGTGGCGCGCTAAAGTGATTTATTAACCTTATTTCCCATATTTTCATGTTTGACTCTTTTTTTAGAAAACTGTACATCTTGCGATGATTTTACATTTAATTTCTAATGTTTATTGATTTAGTTCATTGAGTTTTTGTGCAACCACTTTTGCAGGAAAATGCAAAAACTCTTATTATTTATATATTTTATAGCACTATTATAGCTTAAATAGAATACAGCAGTTCTATACTTTCCTTTACCTTTTAAATTTTTTGATTGAAAATAAACCCTTGAGATACTAACTTGGCGCCGAACTTTAGGCAATACTTTAGTAATGTTGTGATTTGCGAGTAATGCTTTTATAGTCTATTCTGCGCTCTGCATTACTTTATACTAAGTGAGGTAACCTAAAAATCCTATATTATATTTTTCGATATAACATATTTGATTGATCGCTTAACGCTGCACCTGTCTGCATGTGTTATAATACTAAACAAAATTTTATAAGCAATATATAAAAAAAAATTCCGATATCATAGTTTCCCAACTTTTAACTGTCAGCGCATTTAAATAATAGTAAGAAATATTAGCTAAGCTTTCTTTGTTATTTGAATATCTCCGCTTTTGACAAAATCTCAATAATAATAGGCAAATCCATCTGGGAAATTATTCAACTTGTCTCTTTTTAGATTCCTATACCAACAGCAACACTAAGCGCAAACACAATGCGCGCCCGTAGCGCAACCAAAAAGCATAGAAAATTATGTGACAGGCATACCTTTGACCACCTGCTGCTCTCAAATCTAAACTCCTTAACTCCCAAACTATAAACTCTTTGCAATTGTCTCTCTGCACGCACACACACCTACAAGTTCTTTTGTGAAGCCTAAGCCGGCAACATGAACGTTGGAGCCGCGTTCGTCTCGGTCAATCCCCTCAGCGATAGAGGCAGCGGCAACAAAGTACCACGCTTGCTGCACAGCGGTGGCCAATTGATTAAAACGATTTGCGCGATTCTCGCAGCGATCCATCGTGCAATGTTCCAACGCGCAAGTAATCAGTCGGGCGATCATGGTCCATGTGCAGCTAAAATGCCAACAGTAGGGGAGCGCAGCGAGGCAGTTGGAGGAAATATGCGCAGCAACGCCTTCTGTGTGCGGATCATCAACTCATATGTTGCAAGAATACTGCAAATGCATAAAGTGCTTGCAAGTGAAAGGTTCAGAGAAATTTCAAATATACACACACACACGCACACATGCACGTGCAGCGCTATGTAAACAAAAAGCGATGTATGCGCGCGCATACTTGTATAAACATAAAAATTGCCGATGCAACCCAATGTCCGCATTTATTGATTTTATTTTTGCAATTTCATCTCTCGCTCTGCCGCCATGCAACGCGGCCAGTGCAACAACTTTATGGCCGCCACTACCAAAAACGGTTGCACACCAAATGCTGCACGTACGCTCGCATGCGATAAATGTGTAAATATGCCGGTGGCAACGCATGCCACAATCGCACAAATTAATTTTAAATAATCGACGAAACATGAGCGCATGCTCATGCCACTTTGTTACCATGTAGCACAACAATAACAACACCGCCCGTCCGCCTGCCCCAGCGCCATCGCTGCCTTAACCAAGTCGTACATTAGTCGCTTAGTAGCTTCGCTGGCATTCAACTGTCTGCTTAATGTCTCGGACTACCAATTTTTGCGACGCAGCGTCGTTGTTGTTTGTCTATCGTTGGTGCATTGACTTGCCACTTGCCACTTGCGGGCCGATAAACGTTAAACGGCAATTGTAGCGGTGCCACTGCCACCAAATTGGTCAATAAACCCCCGAACGCAGCGCTTTCCAATGCCAAATGCAGTCAAAGAAAACAACAATAACAAAGCAAAAAACAAACAAGCAGTCACAATAAGAAATAGTTGTGCTATTGAACAACAGCCATCAATAGGCGGACAAGCAGGCGTTCAATAAAGATATGTTGTGGTTGCATTTGGAGGTGATTCCGCACAGTGAGGCATAAAGTGTGCCGCATTGGCTCCAGATGTGCAATAAAAATAATTCTCATTTTAGTGAATTTGTTTGCATATAAGTGAATATACATAGTTTTATTGGCTGCAGCAAAAATATTTTTCGTCGCCGAGGGAAACCAAAATAAAATATTATAAAATTTGCAAATTATTCACATGAAATCTCCGCGGCGATAGCCTTCACTTCCTTATGTTCCTTGGAGAATAAGCTTTCATCTCCACCTTTTCACAATATTTAATGAAGTGTTTAGAAATGTACAACAATCATATATATCCACTATTTAATTAAGATTTCATAGAAACATTTGACTGAACTTTCACTTCTTCACTTATTCAAAAGAATAAACTTTTTACGACTTCATTAAAAAAATATATTTAAATAGACCCAAAGCTTTAATTTATTATGTTATCTATAAATAAGCTTTCAATTCTACAACCTAATATATCCATTAATTAATTAGACTTTTGTACAAATTTTGGTTGAACTTTCACTTCTTTACATATTCAATAGATTAAACTTTCGGCAACTTTCTTAAAAAATATTGCATTTAGTTAGAACGAATGACTTCATTTGTTTATGATCTCTAACGAACAAAAAACTTTCAGTTCCACATTTTTAACGTATCTAATATTTCATTCAGCTTTCATAGAAGCTTTTTATTAAGCTTTCACTTTTCGAAGAGTTTCGAAGTCTAAAATCATACAACAATCACACTCACTCATTACAAACAAAAGATCTATCGCCAACAAAAATATTACTAATGCAAACAGCAGTAGTTTCGTGTTGCACGGACACATATTGCCCGTTACCTCCACTTTTGTTACAAATATAATGGTTATTGCAACCGCAACTGCCTTCAAGGCATTCTTCATGCATTCATTTGTGTGCAAGTGCCAATGTTTGTGCATGGATGTGACTTTCATGAGCTAAGTGCGTCACCTCGTCCAAGTTGTTGCTCCATGCAACATACAATGAAAGCGCACAAAAGTCATAAAGGGCGGGTTAGCCACATGCGGAATGCATAATCCCACCTAAAGTGAATGTTCTAAGCCGTAAAGCGTTCTTGATTGCCACTTTGTCAACCATTGTCGCTGACAATGTCCATTGGTCGGTGAGTAAGTCTTTATATGCATGCACACATACATCAGCCAATGTGGCAACATTTCTGAGATACTTACACACTGGACTCCGTTGGGCAAAACTCAACCATGTGCTGCTACGTTTGCATTGCTGCAACTGTAAAAATATTTCAAATACCATTATTGTACAACAACAACAACAATAAAAAAGATCAATACTACACTTCCATGCAGTCACATATACCGCTGTACACACTTCAACTACTTTCTTATTGTTGTTGTATTGGTCACTAGCTGCAACAGCAACAGCTCGAATGATGTACTTTATATGGTGCGCTTTAGCTAATTAATTCCCATTAAAACGTTCGATGCCGCCGTTGGCTGCTGCAAGAGATGTGAAACAACAACAACATTAGCACAGGTTGCAACAATAGCAGCGCAACAAAAAACTGCAACTTCAATAAAAATATTCACAGTTGTACATTATTATTGAACAATGCGACTACTAATGGCGTGGCAGCAACATTGTTTTAGCGATTGTTGTTATTGTTGTTGGGTTTTATGCGTTGTTGTGTCACTGCTGTTTACCCATAAGTATTCGTTATTGCTGTTTGTTGCAGCAATACAATTAGTATTGTTGTTGTTACTTGGCTTATTTTTTGTTGTTGTATTTTCTGTGATTTTTGCTTTGCATTATTTAAAATTTCGTTTTTCGTTATATTTGCTTACTAATGCGTCACTCCATTGGCATTGCTCATTACAATAACAGTGTTGTTACAATATTCATGTTGTTGTTTACTTGTTGCTGCCACAAATATTTTCCACCACATTTCAATTGAATTGTATTTCCGACACGCATAACGACACCGCATTGTCGCCTGAAGAACATTTATAAAAAAAAATATATTTTTTTAATTTTCTGACCCTGGCTAATTGTGCTAAAGCAGTATATTTGTGTAAATATGCAGCCAAATATCTCCTACTATATTTGTAAGCAGCTGGCGTTCTTTAGCTGCCATTAATTAGTATTCCACTTTTTGTTCTCGCAAAACCTTTATCAAAAGCGTTTATTCACTCTATTCCAGCAATGCAATACAATTAACCAGAAATTCGCCTTCCAATCGCATACCCGAATACAATGTATTTGCTACTCGTGTGCGATAAGTGGCATAAAGTTGCCATTGCCCGACTCGTTTTGTTGCTTGTTCTTCCGGTTCTTCCTCAATTCTTACATAACTGTGATTTTTCATATTCTTCTCATAATAATTCTTTCACATTTATTAATTCTGATATTTTCTTCTTTTTATTTCTGTCCTTTGCAGATCAACATCGCCGTCCAGTGCCTGAGTACGGACTTCAGCAGCCAAAAGGGAGTTAAGGTATGTGGATAACTTATCGAGAGTATTTGTAGAATTTAAGAGTAAACATTGTAACACCTTAGCGGCTGAATTAAAAGGCTTGTAACATTGTATTTAAAGAGGTGTGCACAGGACAGGAAAAACTGACCAAGTTCATTATACAAACGTTTATGAAAATAAACTTAAGTTGTTGTTGTTCCGTAAAATATTCGTATGAAATCTTCGATTCAGTTCAGTGCTGAGTTTTAGCAAGAGCATTTAAATTCGGTGCACGATAAGTATTGTAGTTATTAAAGCCTACTGATATAAAATTTTTCCTAGATTCATACAACCTTTTTTATGTATGTGTGAAGTCTGATCTTCAAATGTATGTATATCCGTGCTTAAAGCTCTGTTAAAGCTTCTCCTTGAAAGTTTTTTAAAAAGAATTTCATAGCAGAAATATACCCGTATTTTTGACATTGCCCACAATTAGGCGACAACTATACAAATATGTTATATGGTTAGTTGAAACCTCGATCAAACCTAGCTCCCTTTCAGCAGTAGTGCATGTCTTAAAGCATTATAGCCCTGTAGTCCACAATAAAATTATGTTTACAAAACTAAAATATGTAAAGTAGATCTTAAAACTGTCAAAAATTAGTGTCAGCTTGAAAAGCTATATAAATATGGAATATACAAAATCAAATATAACTATGCAAAACATTAAACCTTAGGGTGCGACAAAGGTATTTATTAAGACAAGTTGTAAATTGTGTGCCGAATAAAAATTGAAAAAGGTAGTTTTCAGAAACTTTGCATTAAAGAAATTTCCGCCTAAAGGTATGCTTCAAAGAGTGTTTATTATTTACTTATCACAATAATAGTTGAGTTTAAAATGTTTTCAATACAAAGCTGGAAAAACGGAATTATTTGGTTTGAAAAATAAAACTGGAATATAGGAAAATGTTTTGCATCTAAAAAGTACATCAAATTTTATGGTCATAGCAATATGAACGATACATCAAGCGTAGAGTGTTTAATTCTAGCTTAAAAAATGAGTATACTTTATAGTGCAATCGCTTAAGGGCTAGACCTTCAGGTTTTATATTTTCATCATGCATGTTTCAGAAGATCGGCGATTACATTTCTTTGATTACTTGCGCATTTTAATTACTATTTACAATTTTCATCACTACCTGCTAAAATTGTTTTGAAAGCAGTGCAGCAAGCAAACAAACTCAGACAAAAGTTACTCCAATTTGTACAATTTTCTCATAATCACCCAACATTGGATTACACTAACTACAAACAAAATGAACAATATCTATAACTCTATAACACAATCCACAGCTTGTTTTTTATTTGCCTTTTGTCGTAATACCCCTGCACAAGCAGCACACCTACCCTCAAATATTGCAGCTATACCCTCGTCTTCACTAATGATCCACGGTCAATTTGTGCGACGACAGTTGCGCACAAACATCATTAGGAACGCAAGGATCAATTTTTTTACTTTCACAATCCGCACAGGGTGCCTGTGTTTGGTGCACAGCAGTCAATAAGGTGTAAATCAATCAGGGCCCGAAGTGTAAAGGTGTGACTTTTCAAATTACTTAAGAGGATTTGAAATATCATGTTGCAATGTAATTAGAGGCAACAAAAAAAATAGTGAGTTAAAAAAAAAAACACCCGCCTGAAAAGAATAATGGAAAAATGCTGCTTAAATGAAATGGAAAGTGAACAAGTGAAAAGAGGAAGGTTTTCTTATATAATTAACTTTAGAGATTTGCTGTGTGGTGATAAAAAGATTAAAAAAGATTCACGCTTTTGTATTACACAACAATTTAACTATCAAACTCAGGCACTCTCTGTGATTTCCTGCCACATAAAGTACAATATTTAATGAGTTTGATAAAGCAACAACTGAATTCAAAAGGGACACCTGCAATGTAAAAAAAATTAAGAAACAGACTTAAAGAAGTTTTAGAAAACATAATGATTTTTGAATAAAAAATAATGGTTTTTGAAAAAAAAAAGATTTATGAAAAATTATTATTTTTTAAATATTGTACTGTATAGATTTTAAAATCAAATATAGAAGCGTTAACAATAGGCGTATCAAATAATATTTTTAGGCCTTTAAACGCAGCAGTCAGTGGTAGGTGAACAAGATTAAGTATCAAACATAAAATAAAAATACAAAAGAAAAAAATCCGAAAAAATAAAACTGCTCCATTTAAACATAAAAATGTAACGCAAAACTGCAGAGATATTAATTTTAAAATATATTAATGAATTAATGACAAATCGAATGTTGCAAGCCATAAACTTTCCACGCATAGAATTGCAAGAAAGTCGCATACCAATGTTGCTGTGGTTGTTGTTGTATGTTGTATTATGTTGTCACCTGCAAAAACTAAACGTGAAACTAAATATAATTTATTGTATATCATTTGCGTTGGGGGAAAGTCGCCAACACGCACTAAGAGCTGCGTAGAAAGTTCGCGCGCATGCGCAACCAAACGCACACACACATGCATGCACGCACTTTACGCAGGCGCAGGCGCAATTTTTGCATTTTCATGTGCAGTTTTTATTATTCGATTTACGCGATTAAACCGAGCTATGCTTCTTATGAGCACTTTACAAGCGCTAAGCAAAAAATAACAAAACAAATTGCGCCTGAATTGGCTGACGCGTTGGTGCAGCTGGCGAAATTAAATCGAAATGCCAGCGATGACTGCCAGCCGTCTATAGCTAACGGCAAATAGCCAACGGCTACTGGCTATGGCAATACTGCATAGGAGCAATAGCAACAACAGCGTGGCAGTGCGTGTTGCACGGCAATTAATCGCCATGTCGCAGACAACATATACACACACACCCAGGCGCATAGCGCTCCAGACTATAAAAATGAAATGTACGAATCAATTTCCGCTGTCTGTGACAAACGCACACGCGCAGCCACACAGCGGCACGCCCGACAACAGCAACAACAACAAAAACCATAACCGCCCAGTGTCGCGTAGAAAAAGCGGTCCGATTGGCGGTCACACGGCTCAACTGGCCCAGCTCGCTGCTGCGCTGGTTGATCCGGCGCGCCAGACAAGCTGGCCGCCACAGTTGTTGGGCAACAAAAGGAAAATTGCAACAGCAACAACAAAAAGTGTATAAACAACAACTAAGCGTGCTTGCCATTGACTTGGAAAATGTTTGTTTGTATTATTGTTGTTATTATTATTTCTATTATTATTATTGTTGTTGTTCTTGTTATTTGCTGCAGCAAATGCCCACATATTTCTCATTGCGCGACAACTTGTTGTTTCGTTGTGCATTTGTTGTTATGCGGTATTCGTGCGTGCAGCAATGCTTTGGTGAATTTGATTTTTTTTTCGTTGTTGTTGTTGTTGCCACATATTGTCACCGCTATTGCGGCAATGGTACATCCTGCATGTTGCATGCATCATCATTTCACTGCCATGCATTGCTAAAAATGAAACCGTTGCAGCGCAAACGATTTGTGGCATGTACATGCGTTATTCGAGCGAAACAAAGTAAACGAATGCAGCAACAACAACAAGTGAGAAGTAGAAACAATATTATCGGCAATGACAATGCGAATGAACGCGTTACAAGTAAACGACATGTTACATTTCTGTCAATAAGTGAGTGCGCAGTGGCAGCAACAACGACTTGGCAAATAAATATATTGATTGCACGGTACACACTTGCCACATTTGCCACACTTGCAACACATGTAAAGCTAGCAAATGCGTGCAACATGCAGCAAACACACGGTAACACTCTCAAAACTTGTCATTTTTAAGCAGACTTCCAAGCAGCCACTTGCCACATTGGCCGCCATTGCATTTGTGGCAAACTGCACTTGTTGCACTTGTCGAGCGCAAGGTGTGCTGCTGTGGCACTAGCTTTCATGCTACACTTTGCACTGCTTTAGACACTTGTAATCGGTTTTATTGTTTTTTTTTATGGTTTGTTGTTGTTATTGCATTGCTATAACACTATGCCACACCGGGCATTGGTTGCATGCATGGCGTACAAATGCAATCTGTCATGTCTGCTGGCGAGAGCGAGAGCCGCGCACGACCGATTTTCGAATATTTGATCAACAACAACAACAACAATGCCAATAAAAAGCAACAACAGCGTCAAAATGTGGACACAGAACGATAATAAATAAATAAGAGTATGTGAAGGACGAGGCGATAGCGCAAAAAATCGACTTGTAAATGACAAGCCGACCAAGAATGAGTGCAAATGTAACACAATTACAACAACAACAAACATATATAAAACAACAAAAGTAGCAACAACGACAGTACAACTGTAACAACGTCGAACCATGACAACTACAACAATTTCGCATGTCAAAGAAATATTATTAATGGCTGTAAAATAAAGCACTCACACATAAATATACACACTCACACATATACAGACAATCGTATATCAAAAGCTGCGAGTGTTGTTAATGAAAATTAAATTGAAAAAGGAAAAAGTTTTGCTGTGAGTTCTACAACATACCTTGTTAATAATGACAACAACAAGCTGTGTTAGCAAAAACCAAAACAAAATAAACACAATATTGACAACAACAACAAAGTATAAATATGCAAAATTTGCGGTGTTGCATAAAAAGGATTGACTTTGTTGACAGACGCTATAAATATTTCAATTGTTGATAAACATTTTGCGATCATTTTAAAAATTATGAAATTAAATTATTCTCTTTTGATTTTCAGGGTCTACCGTTGCACATTCAAATCGACACATTCGAGGATCCGCGCGATGCTCAGGTCTTCCATCGAGGCTACTGCCAAATTAAGGTCTTCTGCGATAAGGTAAGCGCAAACACACAACTATTATTGCTAGTTGCATGCAACTACAAGCGAGGTACTCGTGCTCAAACAAAAAAAAAGTAATTTGAAATAAGCAGAACTTGCAACAAGTGCTAATGTCCGCTGGGGGCAACATGCGTGCAACAGGATTATGCATAATATTTAATCACAGCTTCAATGAAATGGCGGCAACAGGCGCTGTTGCTGGCGGCCAGTGACTGCTGACTGCCGAGCGCTGACCGGTGACTGGTGACTGCTGCTTGGCACCCAGTGACAGTTTCGGTAGGCGTCAATCAATGCCAAGTGGCAGCTAACATACCACATACTATTTATATGCGATTACATTATATTCAAGGGTCGTGACGTCCGTTACGCACTTACTTTTAAACGCATACAAACACACACACACACAGAGTTACTTATGCGGCTAGATGATCGTACATCCGATTTGGCTGTCATTTCGTCATCAGCGTCGCTCAAAAGGATTATAAAATGCAATTTTGCAGACATATTGCTTGCATGTGTGTGTGTGTGTGCGTGTGCGCGCCATGCAGTAGTGTGTGTTTACAAGTTTTTAATTAAAAATTTTGACAGCTGCGAATGTGAATGTCCGTGGCAAGTAGCCGCATAGCTGACACGCGTTCAACGGCCGCTTGCCGCACCTAACTGTACTCACCTAACCGTATGTGCCGTTGATCTGTTGCCTTCGGTTGGGAGAGGCAGCGCGCTTTTGATTTGATTGACATGCAGCGCAATACTTTTGCGCACGCAGCCATACAGTTAAAATGAAAAGTCTGTCACGGTGCCACACAAAAAAATAAACCAATTACAATTAAAATACATATACAATAAAAAAAACATTGTGTTGCAAATATTATTGCGTAAGCGGTAAGTGACAGCTATGCAGCTGCCACAGCAGCGCTTCATACACCACCATGCATCCTACTTCATCTTCTGCAGCCGCGCACTCCTCCGCATGCCACAGTAGACTGGCGCACAGCCGCGCGCATCAACGTCACTTCCTTTGCGCATTAAAGTTCGTTGCCAAAGTATTTCGTTTCGCTGTTGCCAACACAAAAAAAAGCAAAGCAACAACAACACAACAAAGTGGACACCAACTGCTCCACAATTGGTTGTTGCATAACAATATGTGCATTACGTGTGACCGTACGCTGCCGTCTGCCTGCTTGCAACTTGACAGCGGAATCTGTGTCGCCTTCACTTTTGTTGCCCTTTTTCGATGAGTATATATTTCAATAAATGCATAATAAATATATGCATATGCTTGTGTGTGTGTATGTGTTAAGTAGTTCACCACGCTCGCTTGCCGCTTTGACTGTCTGTCCAGCCGGTCCACCTTGCCGTGTGTCCATTCATGCCACACTGACGCGTAATGTCATTGAATCCATTGCGACATAGCTGCGGTGTCGTTGCCGTTAAACCCTTGCCTGCTTCTTGTTGTTGTTGTTGTTATAGTTATGTATTATCATTAATTATATTGTTGCTATTGTTGTTGTTGTTGCACTATATGAAATTAATACCGCAATCAATGCAAAAGTAATACATGTTCGATAAGTATTTACTTGTAGTAATGTCCACTTCGTTCCGCCTCGTGGTCAATCTCAGTGCTGTCGCCTAGTGCAACAGCCTACCTTTGCAGCGCGATCAAATGTTCGCCTACCTGATTTATTCCGTTTCATTCACTTCATTCACCGATAAAGTGAAATAATGATAGTTCAGAAAACGCGCAACAAAAATACTCAAAACACAGCAACAACAACAATGCAAAGTCTCCCTCCTGCTCTTCTCGTCCGATTGTGATGTGTTGCTCGCATTAGCCCTTTTATATTTTATTTGGCAACAACGAGTGTGGGCGCCTATAGCAGAACAGCAAGTGCGGACTCTTTTTTGTTTTGTGGTAGAAAAGTATTTTTTCACATTTTTTCAAATCCACAATTTTGCAAAAATATTTAAATTTCGAAGAGCTAAGGTTCAAGGTAATAATAGAAAAAAAGAGTTACAAGTATATTAATAATGCTATAATCCACTCAATATTAATATATTTATATCAAGTGCAAAACCTCCACACGAACTCAATATGCATTTGCAACCAATAACGTTGCCACAAAATATCTCGACATGCAAATTCCGCTGAGATAGCAAGTTTTCTACCAAATTCTCCCAGTAATATGTTTGTTGGTCAATATACTCACCGAGTTACAAATATATGGTATGTATATGAGTGGGCATCCTGAACCTCGAGACATCAACAGTGTCGCCACGTAACCGAAAATTTCAAACAAAGGCGCCGAAAAATGTTGTAAAAGGATCGACATTGATTGTCAGCAAGAGCGGAACGCTGCCAAAAAAAAAAAAAATTTTTTTTGAAAGAAAACATTGTACAACAGCATAAGTGGCCAACACTGCGGCACCAAAAAATATATGCGACAACAACGGACAGCCGAAATTTAATAACAGCGACAAGTGTGACCTTAAAACTGCTTATCGGTTTTTATGCGGTGCCCACTTGCGGCATGCAGCTTTATACAACAACAACAACCACAAGACAAATGCATATGTGTACAAGTGCTTGTGTTGCCCCTTTTAAAAGTTACCAACGTTGACTGCAGCACTGGCGCGCCTACACACTTTGATGTTGCACGTTGTATGTTTGATTGCAGTTTTTTATTTAGTGTTTTTTTTTGCAATTTTTTTGTTGCATTATTACCTTTTTTGTTTTGTATGTGGGTTTTTGGTTTTGCGGTGTGTTTCTTCGTTGTCGCCCTTCAAAAAAGTGTCCTGTTTGCAGCAAAGTGCTTTAAAGTTGGCCCTTCACTTTTCGGTTGTCAAAATTTTTTGGATTCAGTTTTTCTTTTTAATTTTCGTTATGGCTAATAGCCATGAATAAAAAACCTAAAGCGCAAACTCGAGCATTTTTATTATTTTTTCTTTACAATTCTTACAGCTTGTTGCACTTTTGCGATGTTTTTTGTTTTTTATAATTGATTTTTGTTTTTGTTTTTAACGATATCTCGCCAGTCACCAGTAATTTTAGTAAACAACTTAGTGATTGCTGCAAATTAAATAATATATTTTTTGAATACGAATATGCATGTTTTTTTTTCATTTTTCATTTTCACCCTCCGCGCAATTATTTGTATACCCTCAGCAAGGTATACTAAGCTTGCATGGGGTTTGTAACAACCAAAAGATAAAGTTGGCGATCGTATAAAGAATATACATAATAAATATAATCAGTCGAGCCATGTCCGTTTGTCTATCTGTTGTATGCGAACTAGTCCCTCAGCCTTTGAGATATGGCACGGAAATTTCGTAGACGTCATTTTCTCTTCACCGCTCATATGTCGGCATCGCCGATATCGAAGCACTATAACATAGCATATAGCTGCCATACAAACTGTTCGATCAAAAACTAGTTCTTGTATGGTAAATTATTTGTTTGACAGGGTATCTTCGGGAGTTTCAGCATACGGCGTTGCTCAACACAGCAGTATAATCTCCGAAGAAATTATTCAGTTCCGACCACTATAGCATATAGCTGCCACACAAACTGACCAATCAAAATCAATATAAAGATTTTTAGTACTCTTTTAGCTATAAAAATTTCACCTGTGAAAGGTATGATATTTTCGGTGCAAACTTAACGTTTTTTCCTGTTTATTTTAATTTTATTTTTTTATCTTTCGCTTTGCTGTTGCATTAATTTCGCGACTGCAGCGGCTTTTATTATTACTTGCAGCATGTCATTACTGCGAAAGTATGTATGCCCGGATATAGTATCCTTAAGTGTTGCAGTTTTGTTGCTGTTGTTATTGTTGTACTGATTACATTGCTGTTCGCCGCGGTTACGCCCTGTAATTGCACGCTTATCGCGCTATCAATTATATGGACTCACACATATATGCTTGACCATGTGAATACATATATGTATTGTGTGTATATAATGTCTGTATGTACAGAAATAATACACAATAATTGCCCGCTTTGGACATACCAATCGCGCCCTATCGATCGCAAGTCGCAGAGGTCGTGCAAAGGGCTTTATTTTCGGCAGCGAATTGTGCTCGAAAATAAATTTGCAACTTCGTGCGAATACAGTATGTTCGAAGAAGTATGTACAAATATATTTACATTGTATACATAAAGTTACAACAGTAATAAAATGCAGCCGAGGGCGGAACCCTCTCATTTCTGAGCTGTGTTTAGCAGTCCATCATCAGCCGATTTAGTAATTGCTATTGTTGTTGCAATTTTTGACAAATATTTTTCTCAGCTTATGCTGACTTTAGACGCACATGAGGAACTATACAATATTGAAATTTCTTCAAGTTATATATTTTTTTACCTCTTCTGAGCATTTTTTAGGGGCATACTTAATAACTGTATAAATTTACTTGATTTTTCTTAATCAGTTTTGATAATCTGATGTGACTTCCACATATGTATCATCTTCAATACCAATAGTGATGAAGGCTTAGAAAATTACATGCTGCTCTATTTAGCTGCCTTAAAAAGGCGCATAAAGAAATCTGCATGCAATCGTCTGTAATTTACACGCGTCTAAGTCAGACGCTTAGTAGTACGGCGCACAAATTATAGTTACATATATTACCTACGCAAGTGCGCTTGTATATTTGCTTCAAGTGATCTATGCGGCGCACTGCCCGACATCCATACCACTTGTGACAGCAATAAATTTCGGTACTTCTGCCACTTCACACACAAGCTCTGCCTACGAACAGCAAAGACATGGCACTGAAAATAGGAAACGCTACACTGCAACATTACTACATACGTAAGGCGATTATACGCGCGCTCGTTGAAATATACACCGAACGTTGGCGCGGCCATGAGAGCGGCTAGCGCGCCTTACCTCCGCGCATAGCGGCTAATTTCACAATCAATATCGCAGCGCGCATATCAGTATCGGTAACAAGAGCAACAGCAACAATATCAGCACGCCAAATACACACAAAAAAAATAACAAAACCAAAGTTATAACGGCATGCGCTTTATTTAGGAGAATTTATGCCG